ATATACACACACAATAATACTATAATATTCACCTTATAATCTAGCTGTTTTTGTTACTTTTTTTGTTTGTTTGTTTGTTTTTGCCAACTTATTTATTGGGGCGGCTGTGGCTGAATGGTTAAAGCAGTCGTCCTCCAATACGAGAGTTGGGGGTTCAAATCCACCAGCAGTCACATGCTGAAGTGTCCCTGGGCAAAACACTAAACCCCTCATAGCCTCTGATGTGTGTCCCATCAGTGTATGAATGTGATCTAAAAGCACTGATTAATCTCATTAGAATGATTTGTTTAATTAGCTTTGTAGAGATCTAGTAGAGTGCTGTATGAATGGGTAAATGAGAACACAGATTGTAGTGTAAAGCACTTTGAGTATCTTGAAATAAGATAGAAAGGCGCTATATAAGTACAGTCCATTTACCATTTATTTGTAAAAAAAAAAAAAACTAATCTGTATGCCTTTTTTGTGGATGTCTATTGTTGTCCACTGTTGTCATCATTCTTTGTTGAAATCAGGTCTCTTGTAAATGAGTCCTCGAGGCTCAATGGGATTTACCTGTCTAAATAAAGGTTGAATGAATACTGTCTGTGAGGCCTGTCTACTTACAGATTATATGATGGAACAATCATTTACATCTGTGTAAATGTGATGAGACAATATTAGTTTAAATCTGCAAATTTAAAAGAAAACAAAGCTTATTTTTTTAATATAATCACACTGCTGTATCTTTTTCCTCAGATGGAGCGTTTTTCTTTAAAGCTGCATTCAGTGACAGCCGGAATTTTTGCGTTGAAACCCTTAATTTAGAAGAATAGCTCACTAAAACAATGTTAATTAATTGATTGTAAAGTCAAAATAAATTAGTTATAATGGTTTTATGTCTGTTTTCTTATCAAACGAATAAAGGTCTTTCTAGTTTACACGCGCCAGTGCCGTGCCGCCGTTTAGCGAACTTTACGAGCAGCGCCTGAACGCAGCATCGCGTTTTCAGCTGGTGCTTTTATTTATTTACGCCCCTCCGCTCCTGAAAGGTGTCTTCCATGCGCCTGGGACCGCGACTCTTTTGTGCAGGTAAATTATATCCGTTTAGGTGCTCCTGAATTCCTCTTACAGATGTGTTGTTAAAGGTGACAGCCGGTTTAAATTTCCAGTCAAAGCGACAGCCTGTTCAGCAACATGTAGCTAGTATGTGGGGCTTTGTGTTAATCGAAACATTGACAGCTTTAATAGATATCTGTAATTATGCGCGGTGGTTTCAGTGTTTGTGTGATGAATTATTTATTTGCTGGCGACCGCCTGGGTAAAATTACACCTGGTTGCCATTCTGCAACGCAGCCATTTGTTTTAAAGGGAAAGTCACTAAAAAACAATGTTTTTTTTTTTTATTACTGCAGTTTTTTCTGAACTGCTATGTAAAAATAAAAATCACATTGATGAGTCACTACATGGACGGTTGCAGAGCAGGTCTAGGGGTAATAATAATTTGAATTAAGTTGATTATTATACAACAAAATTTGGATATGTTACATATAATTGCTGCTTATTTATATAGCTATAATACTATATAATAATATAATAAAGCACCAATTCACTTCAGAATTAATTTCAGTGTGCTATAGACTACAAAAAAGGCAAACAGATCTGACCATTTAATACGTCATAATACTGATTGGTCTTTTGAGGCTAACCCTGACACATAGATTTTTTTTTTAATCGAACAAAAACATAAATATTTGTCCTGGAGAGACAGTTTTACTCTCTCTTTCCTGAGACTAATATTATTAAAGTGTTTATAATTTTATAAATATAAATTACCAGTCACCAATGTGTGTTTGTGTCTTGAAAACACAGGAGTACCATGACTCTGACCAGAGGATCTTTTACCTACGCCAGTGGGGAAGAATACCACGGCGAGTGGAAAGAAGGCAAGATGGTTATATATTTCACAACTTTAAAGAAAACACGCCGCTTCTTTCAGCCTTTAATCAGAACAAATCTGAGACCAGCGACAGTGTCAGTACTTTTTATACATCTAAAAGATAGGATACGATGCTTTTGTCTATTCAAACAGTTAAGATTTATTTCAGTGTTTCAGATACGTCTGGATTTTAAATTTAAACTAGTGCTTTATTTTTGTATGCCATTTAAAAATTGTAAGAGATAACTGTAATATGTTATTACAACTTGTTTGTCACCAGTTTGACATTGTTTAAAATGTTACCAACATTTAAATGTTAATATTATTGGACATAATACTGAGAGGACACGTGTAATGTTGAAATAGAGTAATTAAAAAAAAGTTTTTTTTTATATTAAAAAAATGTGACAGTGGCACAGTTACTGATGTTGTGTATCACAGTTATTTAACAAATTGTAAGGACCTGAGAAAATGGGCATTTTGAAACGTTTTAAAAGTGTATATTTATTGTTTTATTTAGATGATAGAAATTTATTTCACGTTTCTGTATGAAGTAAGAAGCCGACATTCATAATTTTATTTTATTCTTTACCTGAGAGGCCTCTCTTGTTTATGTACTTCACACTTTACCTCGAGATTTCTCCAGGTTTTTTAGCACATTAACATGACATCAACTATTTTTTTTTAACCTCATTTTTAAGCTGAGGTCACAGATATGCTGTCTAGGTATGTGCTTGATTATCAGTGTTAAAGTTAAAGTTCTAAAAATTGTGCTAAATTTAAAATAATACAACTTTCTTACATATTCATGCAAACACGCTATTTAGAGGAATCCCAATTAACTGCTGTGGGTATCGTCACATGTTCACAACCAAACTGAGTACAGTAGTTCTGACTTTGGCGTTTGGAACTGAAGGTGTGGGCGGTTCTTAAATATAAATCAAATTGTTAAATTTTTGTGGCTGTTGCACACGCTAGACACAAGTCTAAGGTTCAGTACTACTGTATAGTCAAATGTGAGTTAAATGGAAATCCAACACTTGACTGTTGTCACAGTTTGGTTCCTAAAATAGAAATCACTTGAAACCTTCAGGATTAAACTGCCGTAATTCCCACTTGTACAGGAGGCAGATGGGACTACTAATTCAGCAGTAAACCTTTATCTCATTTGGTTGGAAGTGGGTTTTAAATCTAAGCATTGACCTTTTCCAGTCACATGCAATGGCTCTACAAAATATAAATGTCAAACTACAAAGCATTTGCATTGCAAGTTGGGTTGATTTTGTCAATTAACTTTTTTTAAATATATATATATATATAAAAGGGGAGTGGTGGCGCAGAGGGTAGAGAAGGTGGGCCGGCTCAACTCCAGGTACCAACACCACCACCTGCCTCCACCCTCATTTGCCCCACTCTGGGCCCTTGAGCAAGGCCCTTAACCCCCACCATCTGCTCCTCCATGCACCCTAGATGTCAGCTCTCTGCTCCACACATTGAGGGCTGTGGTAGCTCGGTGGTCTGTGCTTGCGTCAGGAAGGGCATCCTGCGTAAAATAACCGCCAAGTCTTTGTGCAATTTAGTTCGCTGTGGCGACCGCTGAAGAAGGGAGCAGCCGAAAGAAGAAGAAGATATAATTAAACACTGGTTTAGAAAAAATACTAGTTAAACCAGGGCTATTCAACAAAACTGCTCATGGGGCCATAGTTTCTGAAAGCCAACAGCTCGGGGGCCGGACATCCAGCGATTAAAGTCATTATGTAATCAAACCAAAGTTTACAATGATCTGTTGCAGTTTAAATTTGTTTATTTTATTGTATTGAATCATAAATGCAATAAAGAGAACCCCAACTCAGAGCCCCCCCAAAAAGGATTATTCTTTTTATGAATTGGGCTGGATTGAAGTCACCCGTGGGCTGGAAATGGCCCGCGGGCTGCCAGTTGAATAGCCCTGAGTTAAACCAAATGTTTCATGTTAAAAATAGTCATGTTTCATTCAGTGGTGTAGTCTACGCGATACGCGGATATTCAGAGTATACCCACTAGAAAAGCTTAAGAATTCCAGTATACCCACTTAAAAGTGCCCAGTGATACGTGACATACCATTAGGCACGTATCATTGATACGTTAAACGGCAATTAAATGCTTCCATAGCAATCTATCGGTATGCAGAGCTTGTTTATTACATTCACTTATCCAGCGAGTTATTGTATAATTAACACTTTTGTACTTACTACTTAATACTTGAACATGTTTTGCTTTGATACTGTTTTATAAATTCTATAACATGTTTTTAATAAAAAGCCAACTGTTGTACAAAGTTTGTTGTACATTTATTCAAATATATTATGGGGCCGAGATGGTGAAGGGGCAGGGCAGTCGACTCGGGACTCGAAGGTCCTGGGTTCGATCCCCGGTCATTGCACATCTCGTGGTGTCTCTGAGCAGGACACCCAATCCTGAATTGCTCCCCAGGCAGCTTACATAGCTGCCCACTGCCCCACCTGGGTGTATACCAGGTGTGATGGGTCAAATGCAGAGAGCCAAGTTCGTCTTTGTATGGGAACATACAATGTTGACAACACATAACACTTTATTCATTTATTATTATATAAGCATCAGAGAAATTTGGAAATGTCAATATGCTTAAAACGCTAAATAAATTGACAATTACATTGTACTAACCAGTGTACTTTGGTTTCTAAGCACAGCATAAGGACTGACCGTGGTAAAGTTAGTTTTACGTTGGACATTGGACATTCGCCGTGGCTTCATTGGTGTCCAACGTAAAACTAACTTTACCGCAGTATACCCACTACAAAAATGTAGACTACACCACTGGTTTCGATGGTTTATTTGATCCATTTTTCAGTAAAATGTGTTGTTTTTTTCCAGGTCGGCGGCATGGCCTTGGCCAGCTCAAGTTTCAAGACGGAACGTGCTACATGGGTCAGTTTGAGAACGGACTCTTTCACGGTTCTGGTGTCCTGCTTTTCACAGACGGGTCCAGGTATGTGAGCAAGCATGAGACAGAAATGGAGGACAATTCTGTCCAAAGTTCTCAAAGTCAACCTGCTCTTTTCACATGATGCCAGATACGAAGGAGAATTTTCACATGGAAAGTTTCAAGGCACTGGAGTGTTCAGTCGATACGACGGCATGAAGTTTGAGGGAGAATTCAAAGACGGGCGTGTGGAGGGATACGGTGAGTCTCTGACTCCACTGGAACAGCATCAGTATGTCAATATTTTCTCCCTGTGGTTGGTCATGGTGGGCTGTGTCTGCGCCTCCAGGGCTATTGACTTTTCCAGATGGAACCCATGGCGCTCCACGAAACGAGGGCTTGTTTCAAAACCATAAGCTGCAGAAGAGGGAGAAGTGTCCAGGAGTGGTGCAGCGTGCACAGGCTTCAGCTTCCAGTGCTCACAGTCTTGCACTTTGACAACTCTACAGAAGACATTAGCAGAGTTTCAGCACCTTCCAGAAGGGCCTTAAGGCAGTATGCTTTGCTCCAACTCTCCTTTGTGTCTTTATCTGTTATACAACCCCATTTTTTTCTTCCATTTCCTACATCTTCCTTCGTCCAACCTTACGGTAACCAAATGCAGTTTGACCAAATAACAGCTTGCTATAATGCACAACATCATAAAGCACACTTTAAAGTCACAAGTAATGTAAGCATCAAAAACTGCTCTTTCTGATGCTCGTAATGCACTTGAATGTGTCTTAGTGTTTCTTTCTAAAACTGCAGGCAAAGAAGAGCTCTTGCTTCGCCGGCCTCTTGGGTTTGTAGCTGAAGCCTTCGTAATGTTGGAACGATGGCGTTTGATTCGATGAATGTTTTGTGATAAAGAACAAAGGTGCTGCACTTGATTTTAGAAACTTAAGATTAAAAAAAAAAAGAAAATGAAATGAATGCAGTTTAAAAGGTGAATGTAAACATAACTTTTATTTATTTACCATGTATAGGAGTCATTTCATATGTCTTGTGCCATTGCAAACTTTTCAGAAAGTGGTTCTGTTCTTTTTGTAAATCAGTACTCACATTTGCCTTAAAAAGACTTTTGTACCACAGCATGATTTGAAGGGTATCCATAAGATAATCACATGATCATCACTTGCCTGAAGGCGTCTGTTCGGAGTTTAGGGTCTGCTTAAAGATTGCCTTTATTCAGAGAGACGTGTTGCTGAACTGGTGCTGAGCTTCAGCTCAAATCAACCTCACACCCACTTTCCTGCAGACCAGTGGGAATGAACAAAGAGAATAATTTCAGTGGCTAAACTTAAAAAATCTGTCTGATTGAATGTCTTTGATAATTAATCAATTCTAGACTAAATGCATTGAATTAGGGGCCTAGACGTTACTTTAGGTAGCTAAATGTAATATTGTATAGATCAAATAAATATTAAGTTGCTAATTAATTCCCATGAATGTTTTTTTTTTCCTGTAAGAAATATAAATGCAGTAGTTATTCAAACGGAATGTGTTTAAAATGACTTCAAACTTATAGAGATTTGTGTAAAAGTGCTTTTTTCAATGTACTATAGTTAAATACACATAAATAACTTATTGTAGCTGATCTCAGCTGCACTGTGACTGCAGAATAAATCACTATACAGTACTGTATTTGAACATGTAATAAGTCTTATACAACACATTAGTTTATTTAAACTTGCCTACAAAACTTTACCAATGACAATCAAACAAAGCAAACATAATTTCTGAAAGTGTTAGTATGTACCGTATTTTTCGGACTATAAGGCGCACCAGATTATAAGGTGCAATATCAATGAACGAGTTTGTTTTCATACACAAAGCGCACCGGATTTTATGTATATACAGTAGTCCCTTGTTTATCACGGGGGATCCTTATACCTTGAAGACCCGCGATAAGTGAAAAACCGCAAAGTAGGAATAGTAGTACAACTAGTAGTTTATTTTATTATTTATATAGATATATATTAAGGCATTTTAAACCCTTCCCACACTATTGCAATATTCTAAACAATGTTTCTAAACTCTAAACGCTCTAAAAGAGCACAGAATGTCATGATTTCAGTTCCCTTCCTCCTCTGTTCTTTGCCACCTGCAAGCGCTCTTGGCCACGCCCACTTCTCCAATCTGCATGCTGAACATCTGATCAGGAAGTTTATCCTGCAGTATGGGCTGCACAAAGGTGCAGGAGGTGCTAAATAATGTAAAATAATTTATTTTAAATAAAAATTCCATGCCGATCGTGCGGCTCATCTATCAATCAGCCAATTGTGTGTCATGTCCAGTCTTATTTTGAAAAACCGCAATAGAGCGAGTCCGCCATAAACGCGAAGTAGCGAGGGACTACTGTATAATGCTCAATGTAGATTTTTAAGAAAGTTAAAGGATTTTAAGTGCTCCTTATAGTCCAAAAAATACAGTACACAAAAGTCTGACAACTGAAGAATTTAAAAAAGAGATTAAAAAATATTGTGGTTTAAAATGACAAAGTATATGTGGCACTGTTTGTAAAGTTACACAGTCAAAAATTAACATCAATATTTTGGTTTATTTAGCCTTTCATAAGAAAAAAAAAGCTTCTTTTTTTTTGTACAAAGTCATATTTCACCAAGTTATTCATAGATTTATAAGTGTCACAATTCCAAACTAAATATTTAGTTTACAAACTTAATACTTAACTAGTAAGTTAAATATTTAGTTAGTAAACTAAATATTTAGGTGTAAATTAAATATTTAATTTCCAAGCTATAAATTTATTTTCAAAACTAAACATTTAATTTCCAAACTAAATATTTAGGTCTGAGCTAAATATTTAGTTAGCAAATTAAATATTTATTTTGGAAATTAAATGTTTAGCTTGGAACATAAATATTTAGGTCTGAGCTAAATGTTTATTTAGCAACTTAAATAGTTAATTTAGGAATCAAATGTTCAGCTTAGAAATTAAATGTTTAGTTTGGAAATTAAATATTTAGCTTGGACAATAAACATTTGGCTTAGAATTTAAATGTTTAGTTTTGAAAATAATTATTTAGCTTGGAAATTAATTTACTCCTAAATATTTGGTGTATTAACTAAATATTTAACTTTCAAGTTAAGTATTTAGTTTGTAAACTAAATATTTATCTTGTAAATGGAATATTTAGTTTGGAACCATGACATTTATAAACATGTATGAATAACATGGTGAAACTATATATCAAATATATATTTTGGAAGAAAAAAAAACTTTTGTGTTTATTAAAGGCTAAATAAACCAAAATATTGCTATTAATTTTTGACTGTGTAACTTTACAAATGGGACCCCATTAAAGTAGATAGAAAAAAAAAAGATGAATTAAACAGGAAATTGATATAAGTTGCATTTTTAATTCCTGGATTATCACAGTCATACATTTACATTTCTGTTACCTTTTGTTAAAACAAACTTAACAGCAGGTCTTGTTTGATCACACTAGTGTTTGCTTTAAGAAGGTTATAATGAGCCTATGTGTGCTTTGGATATTAAAAATCAGATCAATGCAGACATTGTTTTAGATGGACATGTGAATGTATGTGACTGTTATTAGTTATATTTATGTACCATTTATGCCCCACTGTTAAAAACAACGCACACTCTTGCCTAACTGTAAATAAGTGCGAATAATCAGATTTCTATTTCCACCTGGAAACAAACGGTGCTTTATAATTGTGCCTGTGCAGATTTTCCCCTTGTCTGGAAATGACTGGTTATCTTTTTAGAAAATATTGTTTGAGTGCTCTTAAAAAGACAGGGTCCCCTTATTCTTCTGGAGCTGATCTGATCATGTTTAATAAAGAGTTTTAATTTAAAAAAAAAAGAAATGTCTTTTTCTGTGGGTATGTGCAGAACCTCAGCTCAGCTATTCCATTTCAGGTGGCCTTCATTGCCATTTCCGTTGCTCCAAGACAAAAGCTGAATTGTGAGTAAAGTGAAGTAGGGGAAACGGGTTCTTCTGGATTTTGACATTGCCACTGCCGACTAACTGAAACCACCATCCCCCTTTCTGCGTCCCCGCCATGCTGCGTATAAAAAAAAAAACTAAAAGCAACAAACCTAAAAATGAATCATGCAGCAAATTTAAGGCTGAAAATGCAAGTCTGCAGTCAGTATGCTGCTGAGTTAAAAAAAAAAAAAAAAGGAAAAGTCATTTTTACACGGTGTGCAGCTTTGCATCGTGTGTGGTTTGTGTTCCTCTTGTTCCTGACAGTTACACAGGAAATACAGTGATGCTGATAATGCAACTGAAGGCTGAGCAGACTTTAGAAATAATGCTTTTGAAGACAGCTTTTGATTTATATCACATTACGAGAAGCATAAAAGTGCAGCTTTTAACAGTGATCACATGCAGCAATGACGAGCCTTCTTAGAAATATGTGAGGAATGATGAAAAAAATGTTTGCAAGCAGTAAATAATGTTTCATTAACAGAAGCCTAATAACTCTGTGACCCGATCACTTTGATTAAACATCTACTTCTTAATGTATATTCAGCAATGTTTTCAAATATTATCAAATCCCTGTTGACCAATCTGATATGTTCATTGATTACAAAGCACTTTCCAAAGGCGGATTAAAGTTTGTATAAATTCAGCTTTGTTTCCTTGCTTGTAGGTTTTAAGCAGATCTTTTAGAATTTCTTTAATTTAGCTGACATTTTTCTAAAGTCAAAGTTCAGCCTAACCTCAGGGAGGTTTATAGTCATAACCTCCAAAGATCAAAAAGCAGGTGGTGAACACTCAGTACATGCTCATACAATAACGCTTGGAGTCAAATCTGATGTATCTGGCACTACAGTGGAAAGACAAATAGGACGTTAACCTTGTGATGAAGACAGAAATTGACCTTGGGAATATTTTATTGAGTAAAACTTAGTGAAACCTTTTGATTAGGATTTACAAAATCACCAAAATAAATAAAAAAAAACTTTATTGTCATGCAAAATTGAACACAATTTCATTTCATTACATAATTTACATGGATTTTATAGACTTTGGTGTTTAAGGATGCCTGTGTGTGTTTGTGGTCACTTCATTAGTGTCCCGAGTTCAGCAGTCTGATAGCGTGTGGGATGAAACTGTTGCAGAACCTGGTGGTTCTGGTCCTCAGGCTGCAGTACCTTCTGCCAGAGGTCAACAAAGTAAACAGCCCATACCGAGGGTGTGAGTTGTCTCTTTTGATTCTGTTGTTCTGGTCAGACAGTGTCTGAGACCAATGTCCTGGATGGAGGGAATGTTCTTTTCTGCGGTTCTCACCACCCTCCTCAAATCCTTCCAGTCTGCATTCAGGCAGCTTTCTTCCCAAACAGAGATGCAGCTGGTCATGATGCTCTCCATGATTCCTCTGTAGAATGTGGTGAGGACATGAGGCAGGAGGTGTGATCTCTTCAGCCTATGGAGGAAGTGCAGACGCTGCTGGGCTGTCTTCACTTTAGGTACCAATGATT